CTAGAAGACAGAGGGGAAGCCAATAAGGTAAAAAAAAGAGCACCCAGATTCTGGATCACAGAAAAAGGACTCCTTTACAGGAAATCCTTCACAGGCCCATATCGATTCTGCATCTATCCAGCCCTTGTCGAAGACATCCTATATGAGTTGCATGAAGAAGTTTGTGGAATGCACACTAGGTGGCAGTCTTTAACAAAACGCGAAATAACTCAGGGCTATTGGTGGTTATTCTTGCACAAGGATGGCTAGTCTTACGTCAAAAAATGTGATAAGTGCCAACGTTTCTCCCCGTTGATTCACTAGCCGACGACAAATCTTCACTCACTAACCACCCCCTAGCCCTTTGACTAGTGGGGCATGGACTTAATTGGTCCACTTCCAAAAGGCAGGGGAGGCAAGAAATTTATGTTGGTAGCAACGGACTATTTCACTAAATAGGTGGAAACTGAGCCGTTAATTACAATCAAAGACAAGGATATCAAGAATTTCACTTCGCGCAACATTATAACAAGGTTTAGCATCCCATATGCATTCATTTCTGATAACGATACACAATTCGATTGCACCATCTTCAAAAATTACTGCTCAGGATTAAAGATAAAAAACTTCTTCTCAACTCTCTGCTATCCTCAAAGCAATGGTCAGGCAGAAGCCTCCAACAAGACTATGCTGGATGGAATGAAGAAGCACTTAGAAAGATAGAAAGAGAGATAGGTTGATGAACTGCCCAATGTTCTCTAGGCCTATCGCACGACACCCAGAAGGGCAACGGGTGAAATGCCCTATGCTTTGGCATTTGGGACTAAATCATCATCCCATTGGAAATCAAATTTCCCACCATGCAATCAAAAATCTATGAAGAGTTGTAGAATGAACATGCCTTGGCTCGCAATTTGGAATTGGTTGAAGAAATGAGAGCAACAATTCTAGTAAGATTGGCAAATTATCAAAAGCAGCTCTCGAAGGGGTACAACAAAAAAGTCTACCCTAGGGAATTCCAATCTGGAAATCTGGTCCTGCAAAGAGTTTTGGGCAGTTAGAAGAATCCTATTGATAGAAAACTAGGCCCCAACTGAGAAGGCCTGTACAAGATCTTTTCAGTAAGAGGAAATGGGGCTTATCACGTGGAAGACATGGATAGCAAAGTTGTACCTTGTCCTTGGAACACTACAAACATTAAGATTTATTTTCATTAAGTCGTAATTTCAGGACATTTGTAAATACGCAATTTCAATCTTCTATGGAATTCTCAATTTGCAAATATATATTTTGATTGGTTTTTTTTTTACTTAAGTACAATTCATCACAATTGCTTGAGTACAAGAACAGGTGACTATCTAGTACAAGATGCAACCCTGTCATGGATCATAGTAACGTTCTTGTATGAAACAGTTCATTCAAGATTAGTTGAAATAATGAAAAGTAGACCAGTCCTACTTTAGATTGTTATCACTATCTAGAAGGACACTCCTATTTAGGAATGTAGGAAGGTTTATGAGTCAAAAAAATAGGGCAATCCTACTTTGGATTGCAATTTTTAGACTAAAAAGAATTTTTTAGCCCAGGAAAGATAACCTTCTTACTCAGGAATATAGTGTGGTTTTAGCAAATCCTCTTATGGATTGTGGCTCTTGGACTTAATTGAATTCAGTAAAAGTTTTTCTTACGTCCAAAAGTGCAAATGTTTTTATGTATAAAAATAGTTGAATTGCTGAAGGAAATTTTAATTTGTAATTTTTTTTTCAAATTTTACTTAGTCAAAATTTTCCAAAGTTTACCAGAGTTTTTCAAAGTTTACTCGATCAAAAATTTCCAAATTTTAGTAAGTTTTCCAACTTTCTACTTAGTCAAAGTTTTACCTTAGTCAAAATTCATCAAATTTTCTATGCTGCCAAAATTCTCCGCCCAGTCAAATTTCTGTAGCTTGGTTGCCTCATTTTCAGAACTGACCAAGCTAGGGGGTGAAACAAGGTGCCTTACACACCCATTTTAGCCCAGAAAGGCATTAAGAAAAGTACTGAGAACTTAGATAAAAAACAACACAAAAAGAAAAACTACTATTTATAAAAGTTGTAATCACATCAAAGACTGGGCCTTACAAAGTTACAGACAAAAACTAGCCAAAAGAAGGAAAAACAAAAGAAAAAACTCAGTTTCATCATGGCAGGGGTCTTGGTGACATCAGCCTCAGCAGCTCTAGAAGAAACAACTTCAACATCCCCACCTTCAACAAGGGCAAGAATCTCTACGGTAGGAGGAATAGATGGAATATTAAAGGAAGTTTTCCCTTTGTTAAATTTTTGTAATTAGTAATCCCATTTGACAAAACTCCTTTCGGTTGTAATTTATTCGTTCTTTTGTTTTAGTGAGGGTATGAGTGTTTAGATGCAAATCCAACCTAAATTGTGCCTTGTAGAGGAGTTTGTGGTCTCAATCCTTTCATGTTTGCCCCTGAAGCAAAAGGAGAAATTGCAATTGAAGTTGTTTGATCGCTTGAGCTGTCATTTGTACGCTCAAGTGAAGAAAAGGATCATCTAGTATTTTTGTAGAATGCCTGAACTTCTAGGAAGAAAGTTTCATCACTCGAGCAATGAAAGTTACGCTCGAGCGGTCAGCCTATATGTTTCGCACTGCCTTTAGTCACACCACTCGAGTGGTGAAATGTGTGCTCAAGCGGTCTGCTCGATCCTATTTTCTATAAAGTGTGCTATTCGTTGTTTTTAGGATTTGTGCCGTCCATTTTTTCAGAGAGGAAGAAAAAACAAAGTATTTTATATTGGATGGTGCTTTATGAGTGTTTCCTTGATGATTTAAGAGTGGTCAATGGATCTGTGAACTTCATATCAACATCATCAAGGGTTTGTCTATTTTTCTTTTATTCACAAAAGTGAAAGAGTTGTTCTTCGGTGGATTGTGAGAAACTTGGGCCTGAAACTTTGGTGCATTCCAGAGTAGCTCATTATCGTGGATTCGATATTAGCATTGTGGATTCAACGTTGGACATGACAATTTTGAGGTGAAGATGGTGGTGGAAGAGGCACATTGGGGTCGGTTCAATTCGAGCGTGGATTCGCTAGGTAATTAAGAGTACACTTGTGTAACATTGTGACAAATTGACATAATCAAATATGACATAATCAAATTACAAACTTTTGCAGCATCAATCATAAAATTTTGAACATTTTATTACATCAATTTGTTATGAGGTTACGCATTTTGGAATTGATATTATAAATTTTTGTGATAAAATTATACATTTTATGATAAGATACAGATGATATGCACCCCTATATAGCATTTTCTCCTAATACTATAATGCTAAAATAAAAGTTACATTTTAATAATGCTTCTTTATTGGTGCACTAGTTATTTCTTCTAATTTTTATTTATTTATTTATTTTATAAAAAAATAAATTAAAATGCCATTTGTGAGTCATGTTACAATAAAAATTACTCTTTTGCTAGGAAAAATCACTACAAGAATTAACACCTTTACCGACCAAAAAATTGGTCGCTAAAAGCCCATTTTTAGTCGGCAAAAGTCATTCGCGACCAATTTTTTTGGTCGCTACTTTGGTCGCTAATTGAGGGTTGGCAAAAGTAATTCGCGACCAAAATTTTGGTTGGTCAGGAAAAGTTGGATTTGCCGACTAAATTTTTGGTCGCTAAATATATCATTACTGCGACTAATTCATTTTGTCGCTAAAACATTTTGGTCGCGAAAAGTGATATTTTGCCGACCATATATCTTAGTCGCCAATTGTCACATTCCACGACTAAAAAATTTGGTCGCCAATTATCACATTCAACGATCAAAAATTTTGGTCGTCAATTGTGACATTCTACGACCTTTTAATTTGGTCGCCAATTGTCACATTCTACGACCAAAATAATTAGTCGCCAATTGTCACATTCCATGACCAAACATGTTTGTCACCAAAAGAAATGTTTGCGCAACTAAAACTTTAGTCGGCAATAGACCTATTCGCGACCAAATCCTTTGGTTGCCAAAATTAATAATTTTAACGACTAATTATTTAGTCGCCAAATGTGCTTGGTGATACACCGACTACTTTATTTAGTTGGCAAAAGTATAACTTATCTTTCCCGACTAATCAATTGGTCGCCAAAACTGAAAAAACAAAACTAAATTTTGGTCGCCAACATCCACCAAAATAAACCTGTAATTTATAATAATCCATCCAATTTATTCAATATAATCTGTAATTTGCAAAAATCATTAAAACCAACAAATAAATTGAATCATGAACATTCAACAAAATACATATAGCAACCATTTCTGAACCTGTTTAATTAAAGTCAGCAACTATTATAAGTTTTCATCCACAAATAATTCCAAACTACATATTTCATCTAGCATAAAAATTTAAAACATAGCAAGTACTTGTTATTATGTTTTAAATTTTTATCCATGTACATCAACCGAAAAATATAACTAGTAGTCTACCAAATATTTTCTATACGCACCCATCCAAAAATATAACTACTAGTGTATCCAAAAATATACCTACTAGTCTACCCTAATATTTTCCATATACATCCATACAAAAATATATAATCCTTCCAAAAATGCAAAAAGTGCCAATTTGTCTTGTGCAATTTAGCTTTGTGCACGAGTTCATCCATCTGTACCAAAGAAAAAGTGAAATAATGTCAGGTAAAATTGGACAAATAATGGAAAATGTCCATGAAAAGCAAAGGTCACATTAGCAAATTAAATGACTATCATTATTAAATTGTAAATAAAACAACAACATTCTTATGTCTATAGAATAAATTGGATCAGCCACCATTCCAGATCCAATATAGTGCCGCACAGCAGAAACCAACATGGCAACTGAAATTGATCCATATTTGTCAATAACTCCTATCTTCCTCAATTCACATGAAAGGTTCGATCAATTCAATATGAAAACTAGTTTTTCATGAAAGGTTGACAATATGAAGACTAATTCATGTGAAAGGTTGACAATATTCCATGAAAGGTTGACAATATGAATTGATCCATAGTCTTCAATTGATCCATAGTTTTCTTTTAGACATCCAGTCTTCAACATTGAATTAGTCTTCAATTTTTTTTCCCCTTTTTTAAGACACAGAGATATTGAAAACAGAAGAAGAAAGCATCTCTGATCTAATGTTTCCTCTCAAATTATAGTAATGGTTTAAAAATTAACAAGAAATACTAACCAACAAGCCCTCTTGGAGTGACAGCTGCTTTGCAGTTTCCACAGCTTCGTCACTGGATATCTGAAAGAATTAGCATACCACGATAAATAACACACGGTAAACAGAAAAACATGGCAACCTAATACAAGTATGACAAATATAGAAAAGAATTCGAACAAGATTGTGGGATATTCATACATAGACAAGCAAATTCATATTCCTGAAAAGAATGACTACGTCACTCCATTCCATTCACAATGGCCAACCAACCAAAAACAAGAGTAGAAAACAATTTTATTAGGCCTATTGTTACTACAACAATAGAAAAATAAAGAACAAATCAACATTTCTGCTTATGACCATAGGAAATATTTTGTATAAGCGGACAATGCATCATACATGTTACCACTGCATCACTCTGCAGAATGCATGAAAGCCAAATTCTTACACTAATATGTTGTAGTTGTTCCCCCTGGTGCAAATTATGCACCAGAATTTATCATAAAGGATATCGAGTTTATTGGTCAGAAAAGGTTGCCATTTGTGCATAGATCAACTTCCATAAAATGCTGCTACATTGAGTTTAGAAACACAAATATCCAAACAAAATGGTGGCCACATATGTGCCACAGAAGTCAACATCTTCTGTTTGGTTGAGTTTCGAAATTTGTTTTCTACAAAATCTCAAAAACTAGTTTTTTTTTTTTTTTTTTTTGTGTGTTTTGGGGGGGGGGGACTCATTATTTTCATATGGTTTTCTGTTTTTGAGGTGAAAAATTTCAAAAACATTTTTTTAGACGTTTATTTTTGTCAAACTAGTTTTTAATTTTTCAAAACAAGTTTCGAAAACTCAACCAAACAGCCAAGTCTTTACTCTTACAGACGTGTGCCACAAACAAGTTTTTAAGCTCATCACTGGAATTGTTTTTTCTATTACTATGCTGCCAAAATGAATTCCTTTTTAATAGAGAATGGGATTTAGACCCTGAAATCTACCTCATATTCCATGTTGCCAATACAAGTGAAACATTGTAAAAGAAAAGCACATGAATGAATCAATCAGAATAGACAAAAACACTAGAAGTAAAATCCCATAATTAATCTGTTCATAAATATTAAGTTAATTATAGAGCATTGTTTAACTCAATAGCATAATAAAATATATATGATCCGACCAAAAGAAACAATATGTAATGGTAAGATAAGACACTGACCGCTATGATTTCATCAACTATAGCTTGATCCAAATTTCTGGGTATAAAACCTATTTCGATTCCTTGAATTTTGTGAGGACCTGCATTTCAAAATGGCAACAACCAAAACAAGATCCAATTACATTATTTTGAAACAAGATCCAATAACATTGTTTTGAAACAAAATCAAGTAAAAATTTTATCTGCTATCTCACCAGGCTTCCCACCAGAGAGTATGTTGCTTTCTAACGGTTCCAAACCAATAACCTGATACAATATGAAGAGAATGACAAAATGGAAAAAAACACAAGTAGAAATGGTTGAAAACATTTTCCATGCCATCCAGAACCCTCAAACATTTGCAAAAGAGTTGCAAACTCAGTTTTCCCTCCATCTCATGGGTACTAAGAATGTCATATGTAATGAATATGGAACAAATTTCATAACTAGGTTTGATTTGACTGATTTAAAAGCAAAAAGCACTTACCTTTATGCTAGGATTTTGCTGTTTAAGGAACCAACCAACCCCAGAAATTGTTCCACTAGTGCCGATCCCTGCAATAAAAATGTCCACCTTGGCTCTTGTATCTTCCCAGATCTCTGGACCAGTTGCCTCTTGCATTGACAACTCAAATGAATCAGCCATTATGGGAAAGAGGGAAAGAATCAACCATTATGGGAAAGAGAGAAACCAAAACACAAGAACAAAAGGAGCCAAATTATACAAAATGGATTTGAGTGGATCGCATTCTGGAGATGTAGAAGGGAGCCATGAAATAAGGAAAAGAAAAATTAATGTGGCACGCTTATTGGAGCAAACACACTGAGCATCTTCCAAAGTATTTGTCAGTATATCCAAAAAGTATTCTTTAGGGACCCCTCCATAGCTAACAAGTGCAATCAAGTTCCTTGATAGATAATTTTTCATAGGTTCATTGCTGGAAGATGAAAAATGAAACTTGGGAGTGTCAATTTTAACAATAGAATCCAAACCTAAGACAATTTACTTGGATGTCCTATCTCTATCATGATAAAGACAACTAATTATATCAAATGCCACTAGTACATGACATAGTGATTGTATATGACCACAGTACAAAGTCAATTTTCAAAAAAAAATACATACCTAATTCCAACTATCTCCAATGAGTTAAAAGTTTGCACATTTGAGAGTCTTGAATCCACCTCAACCTTTATCATTGAAGACCTAACTAGAATTGTTTTTTCTGGGAGCTACAAATATTTAAGAGGAAATTTGTCAACTTAAAAACTTTAAATATAAATATATATATATATATATAAAAAAATAGAGGCAAAAACTTAAACCTGTAATTCAAAAGTGAGAATATTGTCAATAGCAACAATACAGTGATTAACAAAATGTTTACAACAAACTCTTCCTTTTTGGAACATAAGGAAACTAATTGATTTTTCCATAAACTGATACCTTCTTTCCACATTTGTATCTGTCATTGAGAAAGTCTTAAGAAACTATAAATGCATTCATGCAAATTTGATATTTATACAATTATATATATATATATATATATATATTATCAATGACAAAGAGAAGATTATCACAAAAGAAAAGAAAGAGATACACAAAAGGTGCAAGGGTGACAAGAAGTCCACCAAACCATAATCATTAAACGGAAAATACAAATCATTTCTAACATACTTTGTGATTATGTGAACAAAACACAAAATTTTATTGATCTAAAACTGCGAATCTCACACTCTATTGTCAGCAACTGCACCCATGATTGCAAAAATTTGACAATGTGAATTGCAAGGAGTAATCATGCCAACCAAAATAAATATTAAAAAAAATAGAACCACATCTGGTTATTTATAGTCACATAACAATAATCAAATTATTTACTTAAACATTGTCACAAATTCTTTCTTTGTATGAACAGTAGCACTATAACTTAATTATCATTAAAACTTGATCATTTGAGGAAATTAAAACTTTGTGAAACTGGGTTAGCTTCCTTTCAAATTAAATTATATTTTTTAGTCTAAAAATTAAAATGTGAATACACTTTTGATATGTGGCAATCTGGATCATAGAACTTTTTACTGCTGATAATGGTAATAACATTATATTGAAATGACAAAAAAAAAAAAAAAAATTCATTACGTTGGATGTATCCTAGATGAATTTTTTATGAATCAATTAATAATGTGATTATTTTATTAGTTGAGCAGGTATATATGATATAGGATGATATTTAAGGCTTGTAGAATATATCAACACTAGAACAATTTAGGGAAAAAAAAATCTCCTTCAAACATTAGTTCACATTTGTAACTTGTTTGAGCATTGGTGCTTTGAAATGAGGAATTCAAATATCATGAATGCAGAGTATTATGTTTTTCTCTCTTTTTCTTTGAAGCTTTTTGGGAGATGATGGCATTTATAGGTTTTTATTGCTTGGGCATTTCTATATGATTTGTCACGTGAAGCCAATGAAGAAGAAAGACACCTTATGAAGAAGAAAGGCTTAAACAGCAACCTGACAACATCAAATCAATGCATGAATGGAAGAATTTCTTGAAGGAAAAGACAAGTGCAGAATGGGAGATGAGTGAAAGAGAGAGAGAAGAGAAATGAGTGAGAGACACAGAGAGTAAGAGACAGAGAGAAAGAGAGACCCATTTCATTTTTTCTGACTTTTTCCTCTTTCAACAACAATGGACTCAGAGAAAGAGATGAGTGTGATTGAGAGAAATGAACGATTGAGAGAGAAGAGAGATGAGTGAGAGAGAGAGAGACAGAGAGAAAGAAAAAATGAGAAAGATAAACAAGATGAGCGAGAGAGAGAGAGAGAGAGAGAGAGAGAGAGAGAGAGAAAGACAGCAAAAAGAGATGAACAAGAGATATAGAGAGAGTGAGAGGGAGAATAAAGATAAGCAAGAGAGATAGAGAGAGCCACAGAGAAGAGTGATGAGTGACAGAGAGAGAGGAAAAAAAAAAGAGAAACAAGATGAGTGAGAGATAGACACAGAGAAAGAGAGATAGAGAGAGAAAGACAACAAAAAGAAATGAACAAGAGATAGAGAAAGTGACATAGAAAGAGAGAGAGAGAGAGAGAGAGAGAGAAGAAAGATTAACAAGAGAGATAAAGAGCGGAGAGATATGAGAGAGCCAGAGAGAAGAGTGATGAGTGAGAGAGAGGGAAAAAATGGGGGAAAGATAGAGGGAAAAAGATAGAGAGAGAGAGAGATAGAGAGAAAAGAGATTTTTTATTTGGCGACCAAAACTTGTTGGTTGCCAAAGGTAAAAACAATTTTTTATTTTCCATTCGGCGACTAAATAGTTTTAGTAGCCAAACTCAATATACGGTGACTAAAATACTTTTAGTCGCTAAAAATAAGTTTTTTGGCTACCAAAATTTTGGTCGCCAAAGATAAAAAAATAATTTTTTATTTTCCATTCGGCGACTAAATTGTTTTAGTAGCCAAAACTCAATATACGGCGACTAAAATATTTTTAGTCGCTAAAAATAAGTTTTTTGGCGACCAAAATTTTAGTCGCCAAAAGATAAAAAATAATTTTTTATTTTCCATTCGGCGACTTCATTGTTTTGTAGCCAAAACTCAATATACGACGATTAAAATATTTTGTCGCTAAAAATAAGTTTTTTGGCGACCAAAATTTTGGTCGCCAATTCCCCAACCAACTTATTTTTGGTCTTCCGCGACCAACTTATTTTTTGGTCGCCAAAATGTGACCTTCCGCGACCAAATTTATAGTTGGTCGCCAAAACCATACCACTTTCTGTGACCAATTCATTTTTTGGTCGCCAAAATATGACCTTCTGCGGCCAACTCATATTTGGTCTCCAAAAATAATGATCATTCGCGACTGATTAATATTTGATCGTCAAAAGATAACTTTTAACTACCAACTTTTATATTGGTCGCGAAAAGTGATCGCTAAAAGTGCATACTCTTTGTAGTGACCTATAAAGAGATTATGGAGAATAGAATTTGCAATTATATCAAGACCAACCCAAATACTGTTTCAAGTGGTGGCCATGCAATTGAACATTGGATGCGGTTTGAATGGTGGTTAATGACAAAGTCTACACACTTACATGACAAGTTGAAGCCAAGTCTACTATAAAAAAATAATGCAGAATCTCACTTATAGTCAGTCTACTTTAGGAAAAAAAAAAAAATAAAAGGAAAAACAAATTGCACAAGGGAAATCGTTGTACTTTAGTTTTTTTTTTTTCAAAAAATTATACTGAATTTTTTTAAAATTTAAAATAATATATAATAAGTTTTATAAGTTTGCCATAATTGAATTTTTTTAAGGTTTTAAAGCATATAACACTTAATCTATTTTCATTATAAATCCATAAATCATATGAATATAGAAATGATGTCACATATTATTAGCTCTCTTATATTAAAATATAAGACTATATAGTTTACCTTATTTATCTTCATGTTTTTACTTTATCTGCATTAATGTTGGTCCCTTTACACTTAGTAAAAGGGATGTTAGTGTAATATGCTCAATTTGCCCTAGCCTTTTTTGTAGTGATTTTTTTTTTTAATTTATAAATATTTTAAAAAGCTTTACACTTTAAAGTTCTACTTGACTAAAGTGGCTAGAAAAGTTTTTTATTTTTTATTATTTTTTTAATAGAAAGTTTTAAAAAAAAATGGAACTCTATTTTTTTTTTCCCTTTGTCTTTAGTGATTTTTTGAATTTCACTCTTTAAGTCTTTTTACGCAAGATGGACCTACAAAATCGGCCCAAATTGAAAAAAAAAAAAAAACTGAAAACAAAACAAATTTGAAAAAACAGAGAGTAGAAAAAATTGGAACCCATAACTTTTGATGTAAGAGGTAGGAATGACTAGGTGTCATGTGTGCATCCAATTTCACTACAACAAATAAGACTTTTAGGCATCAAACTTTTATTCATAAAAGTGAAAATTTTATTACAAAAAAATATTTGGTCGCCAATATTGGTTGTCTTAAGGATAATTGTCAAACGGTTATTCTGAAAAGTCAAAAAAATGACTTTTAGCAATAATTTCAAAATGTCGCTAATTAGTGTATTTTTAAGAAGAAAAAGAATTTGGTCTTTGAAAGGTTTGTTTTTTGGACAAAATTTTAATTCCAAAATGCACTACAAGAAAAACAGAGTATAGCGACGTTTTTTTTATGGCGTTTTTCAAAAACGTTGTGAAATCTGCCTTGATTTTTCAAATTCCAAAAAAAGTAAACTAAACCATGCCGGTTATAAGAAAACAATGAGTTAACACTATGCCGTTAAAATAAGATTATTAAATTATTTGTTATTTCTTTTAAAAATAAAAACAAAAAATTTTCTACTCTGATCAAATAGATGTGTGACTTCAGGAAGAGAGAGAAATCGAGTCTTGGATCTTTAAGGCATCAGACCTTCGTTCTCCATTAGTTCTTCGGTTGTTTGATCTGAAAAATTTGGTTCTGCTCTTGATTTGAGCGTATATCTTCCAGATTGTTCGAATCCCTATGATCTAAATCGATCTAGGGCTTAAGGTTAGCGTTTTCAGGAGCGTATATCTTCTAGATTGTTCGAATCCATATGATCTAAATCAGTCTAGGGCTCAAGGTTAGGGTTTTCTGGTATGGATTTGCTACATTCACACAAGATCTATAAAATTCCATAACTAAAACTAACGATTTGGAATTGTTTCTCTCGATTTAGTTGATTTCCAGCTTTTTTTTTTGGCTTTTGTTTTGTGTTTTCTCTTTTCATTTTTGTTCTTTTACTCTTTCTAGTCCTTGTATGGAAAACTCTTCTCTTTCATCAGATTGAGCAGCAGCATTGGCGAATCGATTTATCTAGGGTTTCGAGTGCGGTGTTAGTGTCTCTGATCATGTGTGGGAAAAGCAATTGGCGTTGGATGTGGATCGTTGGAAACAGTGAGTATAAGCTCAACGATGAAGAGATATAGATCATAGTTATTCTTGTGGTTGATTTTCACTAAACTTTGTTATGATTTCTAACAAGTAATCTTTGCTCAAAATCATGATTCCCTTCAGCTTCGTTTTGCAGGTGATCTTCTAATGGAGTTGGGTGCTGGGGTAGAGTTGGCAACTACAGCTGTGCCACACCTTTTTCTGCCTTTAGCTTGTGCTACCAATGTGGCCAAGGATCAACCCTTCTCTGTCTCTCATTTTTTTCCCATTTTATAAATTTCAGCTAATCTATGTGATGAATTAGCTTTATTGCTTTACTTTCATATTGTTTCACTTGCAGAATGTTGGTGCTGTCACATCAACCTCAACTCGCACTCCAATATACAAAGCCTTTGCCAAAGGTGAAAACATTGGGGATGTTACTGCGAAGGGAGAATGTGTTGGCAATGTTGCCGATTTGGTATGCTTCTCCAACTTCCATTACAATTTCTAGAAGCTTATGTTTGCACCGGGCCAATTGAGAACCTATTTTGATGGCTGCTATAGTGACTGTTGCCACATAGTTAAATTGATCTGCATATTTTGTACTTTGTTTCTAGTCCTAATATTATTTGGTGAACAGAAAGACATTACTAAAGGAGATGGGTTTCATTACTCTGCATAGTTATTCCCATTAATGTCCCCTTGGCATTTTACTAGACCTTTTTTTAGTGGCACAAGCAAATCAGAGTAAGACATTACACTATATTTTATATATATATGACTAAGTGGAACATATGATATACGTGGAGACATCATGTTACGAGAAGCACTTGCACTCGACTCGACTGCAATAGACAAAAGCTGTTCTTTTGCTATCCAACAAAAATGGCAATTAGTTATTGGTCAGTACTAGTAGTCTTGGAAGTTGACCTTCTCATTATTATGATTTAGCTGATACTATAAATTGACCTTTCTGCAACTTCTCATTTTGAAAGATTGAAACTAAATAAAAAATGTTTGGTAGTTTTTCCTATAATTTGATGGATGCCACAGATTAAAACTTCTCATTTTTGTTTTTGTTGTACTCAGTTACAGTTTATCTTGCATTTAGGCACATAGTTTTGTGATTCATGATTATTTGGAGTAAAGTTTGTAAGTTGCTTTGTAAGGACATGTGCTAAGACTGATTGTGGCATTATGCTTCTTGATTGTCACTATGAATCTCTTAATTTTCTATTGTCAATAGTGTGCAGTTTATAACCTTTAAAACGGCTTCATTTGGAATTGTAAATGAAGGGAAACAAATTGGAGTCTATCTAGTCTTATTTTAATTTAAAAATATAAAAAGGTATTCAAATTGATGTGTCAGTATGATCAACGACGTCTTTTATAATTTGGAATTAAATGCTTAATTTTCAACTTCTTGCTTGGGTTCTGTAATACAAGTGCTTGATGTCGACTATGCGTTTCCCAGTCAAGCTTCTGGGACTAGTTAATTGAGCTTTATAGAATTGTTCCCTTAGAAGATGAATTTAAGATCCTACATATTGTTATAACTCTTCATAAATTAATTTCTCTCTCTCTCTCTCTCTCTCTCACACACACACACACACACACACACACATGTGTGCATGCCATGGTGTGGCAATGAAGGGAGACATCCTGGAAGACCCAACAAAGGAGCCAAACAAGGATATGTACATGATGACTATTGAGCCAGAAGATGAACCCAACCAACCTGAGTAAGTTTTCTTGTTTGATTTGCATTTTAATTCCTTTAATTTAGTCAAATCTTGATTTATGCATTTACTTCTTCCTCCCCCCATGTAGATATGTACAAATTGGGATGGTTTCAGCGCTTCCTGTTTCAGTCAGTGGAAAGGAATTCTCCCATGCATCTCTTCTTTCTGAGCTGAATGAAATTGGTGGGCATATTATTTGAGAACTGGGCAATGCAAGTTTGGGAGCACTTGTAAATTCCACCATCCTTCACGATCCAATATGATGGCCTAATTTTAAGGTTTACTTACAGTCGTTAATGAAATAGTGTTACATTATGTGTAGAAAAAGAAATAGTGTTACATTGGAGGTACCCCTATTTCAAGGTTGAAATAGTGTTACATTAATGAAATAGTGTTCTATTTCAAGGTTTGTTGGAAGGTGCATCTTAGATGAACCTTATAGGTACCGCTGTTTCTCTTATTGACCACATTGGAGGTATCCCTATTTCTTTTATCTCTTCTAACATGGATGAACCTTTATGGCCCAATAGCTTGTATATGCACCATAAAGAATATTTTTATTTTTATTTTTTGGCTTCTTCTTTCCATTATAATAATTTTTTTTTGTTTTCAAAAATCTGACTATGACGAGTTTTATTGATTACATGGTGGATCCAAGAACATGCATAAATGTCACCCCATGTATTGTACAATTGGGGGTAAGTTCTTGCTCCTTTTGAAAATTTGTATAAAATCTCTCTCTCTCTCTCTCTCTCTCTCTCTCTCTCTCTCATACAAACACACACACACAGACGCACTGTAGACGTCCCCGAATGTCTCGGGAGGAAATCCCCCCCCCCCCCGGATTTTGTTCATTGGGCTCACTACAGTTCAAGACTCAATGTCACGGTCCTATATCTAATCTCGCAGAGTGCAATGCAAGACCGATGAATCATCAAAGAGTCCAAATCCGGCAAATCGTTTTTGAAAATAGATTTTTTGAAAGAAGTGCCAAACATGGACTGCTTTCCCAGATACAGAGTCACTACCTAAATGTTTTGTTTTGGGAAATTTAGGAAACCATGACTCATTGCCTAAGGCCACGTGTCCGTCATCACGAAAGTTGCCTCGGCTCGGGAACTTGGGTACGATTGGGGAAGGTCACTTCGTGAGCACCCCCGCTCGCCCGATCAAAGATCGGCCTCTACTAACCATGATATTGGGTTTTGAAAACATTATGCGTTCTTATTCCGGTTATTAGCCTAGATTTACTATGTGATGCACACAACATACAAGTATAGACTGGGTCGCCTGAATTGGAACGAAACATCTCATGTTTGTTTTAAAAAAACGGTTTGCTACTCGCAAGCAGACTAAAATGTGGATTTGCGACCCTCAGGTGGGCTTAGAAAACAAGGTGATTTGCCACTATATAGTGGGCTTAAAACTCACAATTGATGAATTGTTCCAATCTAAATAACCCAACCTTCACCCACAGGCACTGAGGCAGTTATATCATATAAGCACTTAGCTTCATAGTAAGCATGCTATCATAGCAGTCACTCACACACATGCAAGGATGCTAAAGCATAAAACTTACCGAGTACACCAAGCCAAAACAGAAGCTATGTTAGAAATCCATGCATGATCCGAACTATATAGAAATGCTTAATGCAACACATGCGAAATGCAGCTAAGATAGGCTCCGCTATTCTAAAGATGGCATATGAAATGCTACAACTAACATGTATTCAATTTGGAATTGAAATACAATGCAGTTAGTATGATGCGCGGAGCCCGGTGCATGCAAGACAAATGAATGAATGCAAACATGCTATCATACTGTATGCTAATTGGAACATGCCCTAATCTAACCATCATAAGCAGGTAAATAAAAGGAAGAAAGACGTGGGGTTGGAAGACATACATCACACGCACGCACACTTATTACAATTACGCCCTCGCTCGGAGGGTCCGAAAGAATAATACAGTCCGAAATGAATAATTAAATATTACAAAACCCTAATTAATTAACAAATTAACTAGGAAAGCGATAAACTAGCATGCAAGCCTATGGACTGCCTCAGCTCTATTCCAAATGGTGGAACGATGCATGCTTGAATTGCCTGGCGCGGAAATCCATTCCGATGCCCCGATTCGCCTCTGTTTGCAATTAATCCCGGAATGCTGTGCAAGGCTCTGGAAGGCTGATTTATGGTTTACTGCAACAGAGAGCAACAAAGGGGCATGGCAAAGTATTTCACATATGTACGCATGACTACTCTTCCGGAGGTGTAGTCCTCGATCCTTGTGCCACCAATCACGCATATCGATGCATGATGGCTGAGGAGTCGAATTGCATGGCTCAATATGAGATGAATGCACATGAAAACACAACAAGACCTAAACTCCATCATGGGTAATCCAGAGTGTCGGCGACAGGGAATTGAGACACGTTCCGTCACTCGGAGTACGAAACATCCCTCGTTTCCCGTGCTCGGGCTAACTCCTATCCCAAACACAATGAAAATGAGATGGCATACACAATGTGACTAACATACAACCTAGCATACACAATGCTATGAGTAGACATACACAATGCTCGATGTAACATGGCATACACAAAACTCTAACACGCAACCTAGCATACGCAATGCTATGAATTGAAAAGGCATACGCAATGCATAATGGACTTACACCAACATGAGTGAACCTCAGCCACACTCACATCAGCAGCCCTAAGATGAAAATGAGATGACCGAAATGCGTGCACACATGCACGCAAACCGAGGACTGAACCTAAGGCATTGGATGCCACTCTACCAAAACATGGTAAGGATGAAGCATGGCATTCAAACATGTAAATTTTTTGCACTAAAACATAATGCTAAATGGTCTCGAATCATGCAAACATGGCACCCGATGCATGGAGTAAGCCTCGAAACTCAAAACTAGGCATATGTATTGACTTGTAGCTATACAAAGCATGCATTATTTGACCATGAAGCACAAAGACAGAGCTGAGACAGTCCCAAAACATGAACATTTCTAGTTCAAAGCATGACCAAAAGATGCTAGCATGATGGACTAAAATAGCATGCAACTTTAACTAGCAAACATGGTTTACATGGCATGCATATGAAGCATATGAAATCTCACCAAACCATAAAAAATCAGTGAATAAAAAATGCCAAAATATGTCCAAATAATCACTGAAATGCAGCCAACATGTGCAAAAATGAGGGGCTTCTTTGGAAGGGCATACAAGGGGTAATTAAGCACATGCATCAAGGACACTTAGCATGGCACAACCAACTAGCCCTAAAACTCACCAAATTGACCCTGAAATTGGTCTAGGGAACATACAAAGAAAGGCTTCTTTGAAGGCCCTTGAATGGGATTGGTCTACACATGCAACATAGACCTAAAATATGGTGAAATGGGCCTTGGACAGAGCCAAGGCAAACCTCAAAACCCTCAGAATGAGGCCTGGAAAGTGACTTCGATGCATGAAAAATGGGGTCCCTTTGGGAGGCCCAAAATATCCCCAAACAAAACAAGGAGAGGGGGGGTCACCCCCCTCTAATTTTGGCCCTCAAAAATGCATCAAAGTCACTAAAAATCCACTGGATTTCAGTGGCTAAGGGGCCAAACCATGGCCAATGCAAGTGCTCTAATGCATAGCCTTAATCATGAAGGAATGAAGCATGCATAGGGGAAGATGATCCCAAACAGAGAATAGACCTCAATCAAACATAAAGATGATATGAAAACAAGATTTTTTTCAGTTTAGGTCGAGGTCTAAAATGGCTTACAAATAAGGCTAATGTATCATGCAAAAACAGCCCTAAAAGAGAGATTGAACAAACAGGGCAGCAAAAGGCCTCAAAAAGCAAAGAGCCTTTCAACAAAGTTGAAGAGGGGCTCAAAAAAAAAAAAAATACTTTACAGTTTATGGAAAATCTCGAATATGCTTACAAGTAAGGCTAAAATATGATGCAAAAATAGCCCTAAAAGAGAGATAAAGGGAAAGGGGCAGTAGATGGCCACAAACATTAAAGAGCCCTTCAACAAAGTTGAAGTGGGGCTCAAAAGAAGGTACTTCACAGTTTGGCTCGAAGCCCAAAAATGCTCAAAAATAGGGCTAATATATCATGCAAAATAAGCTCCAAAAGAGGGATAAAGCACAAAGGGGGAGTTGAAGACTTCAAACAGAGAAAAGTCCTGAATCAAACATGAAGATGAGCTCAAAATAAGACTTTTTTTAGTTCAGGCTGAAGCCCAAAAATGTAAGCAAAAGGGGCTAAGATATAGAACAAAATAGTGAAAAAAAGAGGAGAATAGGAGCTTACCCTTGTAGCCCAACTTTCCAGCAGCCTTTGGTCCAAGGGAATGAGCTTTCAACCTCTGCAAATGACTTCCAAGGGGCTGGAATGGATGATGGTGGTGTGGTGCTATGGGTTGTAGTGTAAATGGACCAAGGAAGTTAGGGTTTTGGAGCTTGGAATGGTAGAAATTGAGGGAGAGCTGTATAAGCCTTAAGCAAAAGTGTCTATCCTTTTGATACAAAGAGGAGGGCCTCTCTTATAGAGAAGAGAGGCCAAAGCTTCCCTTGGAAGCTTGAAAGATCCTCCATACACGTGTATGGAGGATGCCCCAAATGATCTCCAGCTGGCACAGCTGGATTACACTTAAAGAGAGGAAAAGCAATAAGCAGGCCGGCCAGTTCAAGTGGCCGCCCGGCCACTCCCCCTGGTCGGCCGACCAGGGGTCAAAAGGTTCAAGAACAATTGCTGGTCGGCCTACCCAGAAGGGTGGCCTCCCAGATGAGTAGAACACAGCCTTGTGGAGAAAAACCAAAAAATGTGACCCAAGAGAGAGAAAAGCTAGCTTTTAAGCAAGGTTCAAAAGGGGCAAAGTGAATTACTGGTCGACCTACCCATATTGGTGGCCTCCCAGATGAGTAGATCACCATGGTGGTATGAAAAGCCAGAAAATGTGGCTCAAAAGTGGGAAAAACCAACTTTCGGTCAGAAAAATCGGCTTTTGGAGAGAGAAAATGAGAAAGTTGGCTTTTCAGGGGAATAGGTGGCCGGCCACCATCCTACCACTTCCCTAACAGTGAAAATAGGGGTTCTACCAAAAGATGGACCATAAAACGGATGCAAAACGAAGGTTCGGGGGCCAAAACACGCGGTCTAAGGCCCCGGAAACAGGCTGT